CGTCACCACCTATCACTACCCTACCCCTAAGCCATTAATCAACCTATGTATCGGTCCTCCAACAGCCCACCACGATTTCACCACAACCGGTTCTTAAAACCCGAGAACCTGTCCATTCTACTAGACCTATACTCACAATAGAAGATCTTCACCGCCGGTTTCATAACAAACCATCACCATTCCAGCTCGAGTCCAAGACAAGGAAACGCTCAACTAGTCAAATTCGCAACAAACCCGTATCCGCAACAAAGTCATTGTCCAGTTTCTGACTTCAGCATTGCCCGCATTCTCGAGCTTCCAAGCAGAGATGCAACCAAATCCAAACAATCATCGGTCTCATTTGCAAAGTCATTATAACCCTGCCATGCGGGCAGCCTAACCTATTGGCAACTGCACTGGAAATTCCAATCGAAATCCATCAATCCTTCACCAGACTACCGCAACGAAGGTAACTCCAGAGTTTTGGGTCAGTCGCAGCAAAGTTACTAGAAAGCTTATGCGGACTTTGAATACAATGTACGTTGGTCTATATTCCTAAAAAGCAGGAATAATTTGTGCCGACGAGAATCGTCCTTGTTATCAAGGAACACGTTCATTTGACGAGTACTATTAGCTATAGACCGACGATTCAGCACGCAATTTCCTGTCCGAGCACTACTCCTGGTTTGTGCCCGTTGGGATAATTATGCATTCCTCATCCAGCGAGCTGACTCGAATCCCTATTTCGTCTTGTATGATTAGGGCGGTATCTACCTAGACATGAGTACAATTTGCAGCAATACCCTCCCTATGTGCAAACTCGGATCACGTAGAGTCAAAGATCATGCTCTCTTCAAATCAACCTGTCCGACAGGTATCACCAATGATCTGCTAGTCACACCTGCAAGACATCCTATCTACGCATCGGGGATCTCGCAACTGCACGCCTACAATGCCATCACTCGGGGGTGCGCTCGACTGCAGCCTTACTGTGCAATCATGATATCATCCGGACTTTTGTTATTGACCTTGGTTGTGAAGAACCACCTATTTGAATCTACCTCGTTACACTCGAAAACCGCTGCTATAGTCAATCAAACCCAGCTAGCGCCTTACATCACCAATCTTGAGAGCAGTACGTGGCATCACGCCGACGCAAAACTGCTCATGTGGATTGAGAGCGACCTTGGGAGCTGGTTCGCGCATGGGAACGCTAGGTCTTCTGACAGGTCTTTTGCTATTGATCGTCTTTTGCTTCTCGTCTGTGCTCGTTTCCGAAAGATCCTTCGGAGGTTAATGGGATCAAGCTGCTCAAGGAGGCCGTACATCTTGAAAGATATCTTACGTACGCTCTCAGAAGGCCGATGCCAATCGTATGGATGATTTTAATACCTGAATGTACTGTTTCTCATCATGACCAAAAATGTGTTGACGTAAGAGTCTTCTCGGGTATCCCTCATTAAAGCCGTTTGGATTTGAAGAATATTTCCTTCCCCTTTTTCTGCCGAATGTCTTTCCATTAATTGAGCGCTAATACAACATGAAGTACAAGTTAATTGGAAATGAACTTGGTCTTCCAAAGATCGTGCAGGGATTGTTCCTTTAAGCGACTTCGTTTCTGAGCGGCAAATGCCTCATATCCCAACTAGTTTGCCAGCGTTCTCGCGGTGTCTAGCGGAGACGCAACAAACCGCAAAAAGCCTTTGGTCGCCTTATGTGGGAATTCAATATAGTCACGCCAAGAGGGCAGTTTAACGCCACGAACGGCGAACAGGCCACGACAGGCCTTATCAGATCAGGCCGAAAGTTGACCGTTTAGGAAGTTTGGAACAGCCACAAGGATTAATCAGAACATGTCGGGACACAATACTCGTAGCTTGCGTATAGGGTTTCAAATTGGATTATAACACTTAAAACCGACGGCGTATTTGATGGCCTTGAAGCTTGGAGATATTCATATATAATTAATTTGCATATTCTTTTCTTCTCCTAGTTTCAAATCTCCACATACTAGGCATTCCTTCAGCAAGAACTTAAAAATTTGAACTACCCTATACGTAATAGAAGTGAAAATAACGGTGGTGGAGTTGAAAAGGTTGTAATTTCTAGTCAATACAAGTCCTTATGCCCCTGCCTTATTGACAATCATCGGTTTGAAACCCGGAATGCCTTCGCTTACCACTCCAATCAAATTGCATAGTCCAAAGAAATCAAAGAAGCATTTTGTCTTCTCATTAATCGAACTTGATCAAAAGAAAGCTCGTAAGGCTTCAAGATATTTTGCTGCTCTCTTGACATATCGGTCCGAAGTGAGATCTCTCCTTCTGTTTGGCACCCCTCCAGAGTTGAAATATATTCTTTTGGGAATATCGATCCCATCAAAATAGTGGCTCGGACTTGAGCGCAAGAGATACCGAACCCTTTGGCAGGGTGAGGTGCCGACGTAAATGAAGATGCACCCGGTCCATCAAGAAATAACGGCATATATCAGAGCAAAAAGGACCTTGCGATGTTTTCCTGACGCAGGCCAAGCATACCCCATAGCCCCAAGGCATTTCTGGGAAAGGATACTAACGGAATGAAAAAAGATGAATATTATCTACCAGAATAGCTGCTGCAGCACAGGATTTTATTACCTACCTTGATATTACCGCATCATGCATTATACTAGGGCGGCTTCGGGGATTTATTTCTTTATTGGGTCTCTGATGGTTCTGAAAGACAATGAATACATGGGTAGGACCTTGAACGACGCTCGCTCTCTAATTACTGCATCCGCATACGGTTAGATTTTCTATTCGCCGGAAATAAATGCCATTGAATACCAGCCAGAAAGGAAAATATCAGAAGTCCACATAAACCAGCTACAGAAGTGGGTTGGGATTTCATGATAACGGAATGGATTCCAAGTGGAAACACTATTAGCGGGGCTGACTGGACACAGCAGTAATTTTCTAGAGAGTTTGGTACTAGAAGTCATGTAATTGGTTGGGTAAACGACCCGCGCATTTAGTACCTGGGACTACTTTTATATTGGTTCTTGGTCCCTGGTTCCACTTATTTTCAATCTACGCAAACGAAATGATTTGTGTCATTTTCCATAAAGAGGCAAAGCGTACGTCACCTGATGTGAGCTGAGTCCGGTCGAGATCTCGCCATATTGAACCCATGGGCAAAGAGATTGCTGCATAGCACGATCAATATTGTATAGTATATTTGAGTGAATACTTGATACTGTATATAACATTCATATTCAATTTCCTGGGTGGGTTCACGTTCTGGGGTCGAGATCCGACCGGCGGTTTTGGGGTCTAGTCGAATCCCCCGTTTAAAGCGCTACGATATTCCCGAAGTAATTCGAATTTTTTTAACTTGGTCACATGGCCATCAGTTGGATTCTTATTGGAGGTGGCCCCAGCTTTCGAAGGTTCGAATCCCCCGTTCTCCGTGAGCTTTTGACTATTATCTTGGAAAGTCACACTTGCCTGCTCCTTTACAGGCTGCAGGTCCACATCAACAACAAAGTACCACAGTTTGTGTTGATCCTTCTACCAAATTTTGTAACGGTCCCGGCCCTCTCTATTCTGTATATGTTTTTTATCCCAGCACGGGCTTTTTGGGGCAAACTTGCCACTTACCATCTAATTGCAAGCGTAATAAGAACCCCGAAAAGCGGCGCAAAATGGTTCAAAGGTATGTCTCAGACCCATAATTTCAACACTCAGATTGATCTAATCAGAGATATGGACACTGGTAAAGCTGAAATGTACAGCAAATGTGAGAAAAAGCTCGAGATGATTTTATCTAAACGGGACTGCGACCTTCGCATCTTAGTTGGCCATTCCACCATGCTACAGAGTCTGATGCCATACGTTTTCCCCGAAAGGGAAAGTCCTCAAGTCTCTATCCAAGACTGCAGAGCTGAGTCGGATATTATCGCCCGTTCAGAACATGAAGAGTTCTCTCCATTGTTATATGAGATTTCGGTCACTGAAAGGGAATTGCTACAGCAAGGAGCTAAAATCCAACAAGCCGAACAAATTTCATTGAAAGCCCTCATGTTGTTTTGAAGCCTCTTTTGTCTCTTTCGCCCAAGGGGACTTCCCTTTTTTGAATGATAATATTATAAATACCACAGCCAGGAAATTGTCAACTCCTGTTTAAATACCGGTCACTCTTTTCTCGTGGATTCATACACCAATCTTCTCGTTTACCACCCGCCAAAACTTGACAGCAGTGTGATGAATGTGGTAGACTCCTGTGGTCGGTGTCGAGCCTCTGCCGTTTTCTTTTCGATGGTAGTGGATCAAGGATGACGGAATTAGACGGTCAAATTGTCCTTATCATTTGCTCCTGAGTCTCACTCTTGCTAGCCATCTTACAAACTATATCTCTTCGGTACGCCGAACATTACACAGAATATTTCAACCCGAATTCGCGTACCCTCTGGCATGACCACAAAGCAATATATCTTCATCTATACTTCTTAGTAGAACCTCAGATGTCAGTAGCCTCTCATACTATCATTATCTCGGTGTCAGAATGATCATCATTTACATTGTGCTTTTGGAGAGGCCTGATATAATTTCCTTCGTAATCAAAATCACAAAATGCAATGGATAATTCCTAATTTACATCATCTCTAATAGCAGCTCGGGATACCGCCTCTTTCCCGCAGCCTTTGTCCGTGAGCGCATTTAAAGGAGTTGATGAATGCTTATTAAGAACCGGGGTGGTTCGTCAGTTTCGGCCGGTTCCGCCGGTACAGTCAAGTTAGATTTTGAGATCGAATGGGACTCATGGCTGGTAGCTAGTGATAAGAGGTATTGAAAGAAGTAATCGTAGTTTCCTTGGTTCTACATCTTGAATCCTCCTACCCAAGAAGCTGAATAACAGATGTCAGCACACTTGGCCTTATACACCCCAAGACAAAGTAGCTAGTTAAGAAAAAAGAAATAATAGAACAGAGGTCTGCGGAGCTGGCTCCAATAGCTGTGCTTTTACCTGGATCATTAATAACATCATCGTCCTGGATTACGCGGCTCCCACTGAATCGGCTCAAAGTTGGAATTCCGGAAATGAGCCTGGTTGTATGGCGAGCTGAATCTTGTCAATCGCCAAATTCTTAGTGGAAAACGTATTTTCAGCTAAGATAAAATACTCACTTCTTGAAAGGCGTACTCAAGAGCAGCGAATGACTCAAGTTGGGCTGCATGACCAGCGGATTCAACCGGATTTGCAGCCCATCTGATGACTGACTCGGTAGTGCAATCATCAGGGGTGGTGCGACAGATGGCCTGGTAGGCATTGAGGAAGGAACAGGAATCGGCAGAATCGGTGGAAGGCTCTGCGTGGGGGACTGATACATCATCTCCTGTGCGGACGAGACACGGAACGGACTCGCTGCGGCAGGGGAGACGGAGGCCATAGGGGACATGGGAGAGCCTGCTCCGAACACAGAGTCTGCCGTCAAGTTGGGAATGGACATCAAGTGCGAGTCGAGGTCCAATGGGAGAGCACTCTGGTCCCATGGTGAATAGTTGGATGACATCGCGTATTGGTAATTCACCACAGGGCTGATGTGTACGGTCTGATCAGCAGGATAGAGGAGGTCATAGTGGCCCCTAGATGCGTGGTTAGATATTCGAAAGCTTGGAGAAGATAGAAGACACCCACGGTCGGTACAGCAGACTGATAGTTATACCGCTAGGCCGGCTCGGCGAGAGCTGGTCCCGCGTTAATACGTCGGCCTCGCCTCGGTCGAGGCGGAGAACCTCGACTCCGAATCCAGCTCCCTCGATGACTACATCCACCAGGGCCTGCAGTCCAACTTCGTCGATCTCAGTCCGGACAGTTTCTATGTGGGTGGCACAGTACTGCTCTAGCGGCAAAGACAGGAAACTATGGTAGCTGAGAGGATTGAGCTTCATCCATGCGCTGGTCAAAAGCTGATTTGCTGTCAGTGTGGAGAAAGCGATAAGACAAATTACCTAAACCTACCCTAAAATAGGTGAGCACGGCATTCGATTTATACTCCTCATTAAAGGCATTGACCAGGAAAGCTTCATTCCGCTCGCCATTCTGGATGGCTGCGAAGGTTCGCTCAAATATATCTGCGGTAGCGTCCACGAAGACCCCGTACAGCTGTTCCGGCTGACCAACTTGATCCAGAAGCAAGCTAAGAGACTTGATCCGGATCAGCTCATGCCGCAAGTGTGTGGGATCCCGGAGAGTAAAAAGAGATTCAAAATATCCAAAGGCCACTGCTGAATAGAATTAGAGGACTACCCCATTCCCAAATGGCGGTGGAGCACACACCCCTCCAACCGCAGTTCCCATCGCTCTTCATAATGCGGTTCATAGGATAGGTAACAGCAAGTATCTAGTTAAAGAGTCAGAGTCGACAGGGTCTGTGTAGCGGTAAGCTGTGGAACGGCATTTACACTGGCCTTGGTAGCAAGAGTGGGATCTGCGTTAGCATAGCCTAGCGCAATTCTGTTACTGTACTCAACTGCTTAGTTAACACCAGAGGGTCCTGGGGGATGAGTGGGTCAGCTCGCATCTTTATTGATGATCACGGTTCCCTTACATGCAAATCGGGCTCAAAGTCAACGGACAACTTCTGGAAGCGCTCCATCTTGTCGGGAGAGAGCGCATCCATATTAGCAGAGTTACACATATTAGAACAAACAGGTACAGGGGCAGTTGATATTGAGAGGTCTCGCAGGGGAAGGAGAGACGGGGCAAGAGCGTCTCAGTAAAGGTTGGCAAACTTCTACCTTTACAGAGAGGATGAAGATAGAAATGCTTCCAGGATTTTGCTATGAACATGGCCTACAACCGTGAGAGAAGGGTTTGGGGGTTTGGGTATGAATGAATTTTTGATGAAGAGTCCAGATCCTGGGTAATAGTTGGTGGCGATGAAGATCCCCAAATATTCACAGAAAGGGGCATGGCGCGCAACCTCCATTATGAAAGAAACCAGGAGGGGAATTGTGTCAGCACGGCGGACCTGCTCAGTGGTTAAGTTAGCGCATTTAACGGCTGCATAATACGCCATAGATAGCTTTGGCAGTGGGTCCGGTAATGGAAGCATCAGCCCTCTACGAGGGGCTCGAGCGGCGCCCCAACGATACGTCGGGAATTCACTCCGAGTGCGGACGGGGATCCAAATAGAAACGAGACCCGATACTGGCTACTAGCTATCAATTCTTCAGAAGAGCATTTAAAAAAAATGAAATTACAATTGCTCTCTATCCATCCACGTAGTGAGATTAAAAGGTCGGTCCACCAAGGAACCACACAATCTCTCTGGTTGTTCAACACCCTGCCGAAGGACAGCGTTGGTGAAATGATGACCAACCGATGACCAACCCCGCTACAGCACGAAAGGCTCTCAGTTTACCCCAATTCTAACATATCTTCAATGAAGATAACTGTAAACGGCTGGTTTGCACTAAAATATCTCAAATTTGTTCATACTATTTATTGCTTTGCACACGAGCTTTCCAGTCGTGGATATGACAGATCAAATCTTCAACAGACTTCAACCAACCAGTGCGCCCTTTCGCCGGTGATAGGCCAACCGCAATCACTCCTGGACTCACAAACGAATGGATTAGCCTCTAAGGCCAAAGAGCATGTACCGTTAGTGGGTTTTGTTAAGAAGAGGTTTGGATGCGAAGACAATGCGCGAACGTAGGCAGCAAAAATTGATTATTGGAGACTCAAGGTTTTGAATGACCCCTGATCGGGTGGGCGATTTATATCCTCCGTGAATACGAACTATCCGCCGTAGAAAAAGCAATATTGAACAATACATCTTATCAGCGGCGAGCAAGTCTGATTCCTCAACCAAGAATCACACCTTCCCTCAACTTTTATAATTCTACTACAATATAATGAATGTTGGTATCCATATCAGATGTGTGTAAATGACACAATTCTTGAGGGATGAATTGTGCTATGTGAACGCGTCCTTGAAACGAACGAAACTCATTGCGGTCTCCCGCCGTTGAGGTAACGCGGCCGAGGCGAGTCGGTCTGTTGACCCTGTGGATGGCACCCACCGAAAATTTGGCGTTGACATTCCAGCCCTCGCAAAATAGCGGGCGTATTGAATAATAACAAATAACAAATGTAGAATTCCGCAGGAGGAGATTACAACCTTAATGATTCGGCGCGTGCTTTGATCTTCGTTAGTTAAATATAGTTAGTTCAGGCTGTTTTTGTATGTACTATCGGATGATACCGAACGAAAGCGTCCGTACGTACCATTGAACTACCCTCAGCGAACTGGAAGGATTGCTTAACCGGGTCCATCACTTAGATCAAAACAATCCTTTCCTAATTGAATGCTCCATACACTGTCATCCTTGTCCGACCAAGAATTGTCGGAGCAGTAGAACGGTTCTGCGCTGGACCTTTTTGGGTTAGTAGAGTGGGGCCGGCCGCAGACGTTGCCTCGCCACAATTCTACATGATCAAGGTGCGGAGAAAGGTACTGTAATTAAGCTACTTCAGACGCCAAAAACAATCCAAGCTAGGCATTCTCAACTTTTCGCGTATTTATTGCCAAGCAGTTCGTCTGCTGAAGACTGGGAGAATTCAGTGGAACTGGCCCAAGAGCCTAGATGAAGTTGTCCCAAGTAATTAATGTCCGGGCCTTTTTCGCAACCAATCACATGATTTCTGATAAACCAGATTTTCAGAATAATGCTGTCACATTGCATCAGCTAGCCAATAAGAAGCTCTTGCAGTCGGGACTTTCCTTAAGCTGTCAGACATACCCTCCTCAATGTTCTTCCTTCATCAAAAGAGAAATGCAATTGTTCAATCAAGCTTCATACCGGGCGTGGCCTCCGCAACTTCTCCAATCAAAGATCAAATACATATTATACTTATGCCCAAGACTGGGCGATACAGTTGTTATAGTTGTGTCTAGCCAACTGATAGCTGAAACTCATTGGTGTTTAATCCCAGCCAACATAATTGTGCTCTCCGAATTTCCTTTGCTCTATCACTGATTCACTAGCGAGTAATAAACCAGAGGAGTGTGTGTGATAGCGAGTGAAGAAGCTACCAGGCGAACGACTCCAGGCATAGACCCAGGAATGTAAATTCGCAAAGTGAGAGACGACGGACTTCATATCTCTAGAGGTTAATGTCAGGAAACAAAAATGGCGGACATCTAAATATTGTCGATGACCTGTGCGTTTGTCGCACGCTGGAGCTCGCTATCTGTATGGCCAAACGGCGAACAGTACCTGCTAATACCTTCACCTGAGATGTCGGCAGCAGTTATCTACTGCTGAATGGTTTGGTTTGTCGCAGGTGAAAAGATAACCTTGCTGTTAGCAGATATGGCCATTGATTGTATGGCCTCACTCCAATGTACAAGTCATACCCTAACATCACGTGCTGTATTCGAATAACGATCAGATCTGGTTTAGCTCATGGCTAGCCACTTTAGGGTTAGCTCCTTGTGAGAAAAGGTTTACGTGAGCCAGCCCGCCTCCAGGGCGATTTCGAAAAAAAATTTCCGTTCTTCATTTTCCTGTTCCTCGGGGGTTCCCGTAGACCCTGAACTCCACGTGACCGATGCTTAAGGCAGTAAGGTGCGGGGTTCCACCAAAAGCACCACAAACCACCGTTTAACTTGCATCTCGTTAAACGATCCTGGTGAAAACCGTTAAATGATGAAATTTGCCTAGATAAACGTACCTGTATTTGCTCGGCTGTTGACGGTCAACGGCTAAATATTACGTCTAATTTTATCAAACTAACCGCCCCATCAACTTATGCTCTAGGCTGTTTACTTTTGCTCAGCTGGCAATATTCAATTTTCCTCTTAGTGTTCAACGGTCAACAAACGGGCTATTTGAGGTCAATTCTAAGTCCTGCAGCTTATTTGCCCGCTCTGTAGTTTAAAGGCTGTTGATATAGATAGTCATACATTTTTTGTTATCATAATTACACAATATGCCAGCAACTATGCTCAAATAACGGTGTTCAAATCGTGACTTTTTTTCAACGGCCAAAACCGCGGGTTATTAAGGGAGATTATGGATACAGCATCACCATTGTCGCCAGACTTGCAGGAATCAACTGTGATTGTTCGACATGACGGCGATTCAAAACATCAACAGTCATCAAGAATCCATGAGTAAGGTAAGTTCAGCATTCCCGGATATCGTTATTCATAGTGCGGTGAAACTTCGTGTAGAGATTCTATAGGTTTTAGCCTTCTGAAGATTTTGATAGAACTCGCCGAGTCTGGCCGGTGAAAGTTGATTCAAGAACGATCTCATTTAAGTTACAAGTTGAAAATAATTTTACTAATAGTATAAGATATTGTAACATGTACTGGAATTCCCTTACTTGCCGATATCCGTATAATTCGCAATATTTACTCCTACGCCCCCTCACGGTCTGAACGGCTTCATTTTAAGCAGTAGATGCCTTACAGCATACTGTGCCGAAAATTGCTCTCGATGTCTCGCGCCCATCAACGTCAGAGGCGGACATCGTGCGCAACCTGATCGAGATCGACCGGGATCCCCGCATCTACCTTGTGGCGCCGGGCCGATAACAAGCCTTTTATTGCCGATAAAGCCGCTAATCAGCAGCACCTCACCCCGCAAGAGGAGCAAGCGCTAGTAGAGTACGTGTTACGGTTGTCGGACAACGGCTATCCGTTTCCGGTCAAGTTTCTTGGATCGCTCGCTCTAGTCATCGTGCGCCAATGATCCTCGATTTTCCAAATCACAGATTCCGGCCTTGAGATCCGGCCTCCGGAAAAGAATTGGCCGCAGGGTTTTTACCTGCGCCACCCGCAGTTAAAAGCGCTACGGCTGCGAGCGATCGATTGGAAGCGATATGGCTGGCAGATTGAAGACAAATTCAGACACTGGTTTACCATCATTGGCTGAGAGCTGGCCGATCTGGCCATTCTCCCGAAGAATCTTATAATATGGGCGAGACAGGAGTCCTTTTCAGCGTTCTCAACTCTGTTAGAGTGCTCGTCAGCAAGGATGATATGAGAAAGGATTGAGGGACTACGGTGAAGCGGACGCTAGTCACGGCGATTGAATGTATCTCCGCCGATGGTCGGTTCCTACATCCTCTCATTATCTGGCCGGCTGCCACCCATCGCAGTTTGTGGACCACTCACGCCACCCCCGGATGGCATTTTGCGTGCTCCAATCCAGGCTAAACTCAGTCTATACTGGGTAGAACATGTGTTCGATCCGCCAGACTCGAGACCGAGCGGGCGGTCGGCCACGACTCTTAATCTGCGACGATTTCGGCACCCACGAGTCTCCGGAGGTCATGGAATTCTGCTTTGCGAACCGCATCATCCTATGTCGTCTCCTTTCTCATACGTCTCACAATCTGCAGCCGTGCGATGTGGGTGTCTTTAGTCCCCTGAAGACGGCATACCGGGTACAGGTCGAGCTGGCATATCGAGCGGGGGTGAGTACCGTTGGCAAGCCACACTTCACGTATCTTTATGATCGTGCCGAAAAGAGGCATTTACACCCCGCAATAAGTTAGTCATGTCGCTTGTCGTGCAAGAGAGGAGTTGCCCGTATTCTTCCTTCCTGTCACATTATCAGAAATGGCAGAGCGAAAAGCGAAGCCGCTTTCCGAATGGTCTGGGACGAAGAGCTCCACTCTCTTATACGGCCACATCCATTCGGAACACCTATTCCCATTAGAAAATTTCAAAATCGATTATCTCAACTAACACCCATTAAATCAACTAGACATAGCGATTTTTACATACGTTAATCCTGTGACCAATCTCCCTGCACCCACTACACCTAGGCGGGGCCCTAGTAGGTGGTGGATTTACCTGACTACGCAATTCGCCCTGCGTATGCGAAACTACCCCATCAGCTTCTACCGGCTGATTTAGCTGCTCAATAAGCTGTAGGCCCTCTTCGACAGTCAAACCCTCTTCGCAGGGTATCTTCTTATGCGACCTATTACGCCTTTTGACGATCTTCTGATTAGCTGCGCGTAGATTGGCGTTCTCTTGCGTGAGTAATGCAGCGCCTTGTAAGGATAGATAGCTACCCTTGATGATCTGATCTACCACAGTTTTGATTGGTCTCGGAGGGCTATGCGACCGCCGGTCTAGTAGAGTCTCTAATAGAGAAGCTTGCTTGAATAGCTGAGTGACAGCTTTAGGCGTTTTTGGTGTGAATTGGCTAGAACTGCTCCTTGGCCGGCTTGGTGGTGGTGACGGATTTCGTAGAGAGATATTAAGCTTATGTAGCAGTCTCTCGGCATTTAATGGTACCAAACCACTAGCTGCAAAGCTGTTTTGAATAGCAGGATTGGCTGATTGGAAGGCTTCTAGCCGCGCGCGTTGTTAGTCTTCTAAGAAATCGAACTTATCGATATGTTTATATCCTCTACGCGCAAGATCGCTTGCTAAGCGACTGTACGCGCGCTTAAGCACTGCAAAACAGCCAACATCCAGTGACTGTAGTAGATGCGATAAATGCGCAGGCATACAAAGAGGTATAATATCGTGTTCTGCGCATATTCGGTCGAATTGGGGCGTAAGGTGGCTGCCATGACCGTCAAGAATTAATAGCCGAAACCGACCTTGTACGCGCTAATTCGTGTGTGGGATAAAGTGCTTTTCTAGCCAGCGTAGGCCAATCTCATCGGTAGTCCAGCCGTTATCTGAGACCACAAATCGCCAATCTCGTGGTAGATTATTGAACCAACCAGCGATTGCAACTTTGCCTTTAAAAATCACACATGGCGGTAGCGAATAGCCATCTGCCCAGATTGCTTCGATCGCAGTAACCCATTCACGATTTCCTGGTTGTAAAAGAGATCTCCGACCGTAGTATTCAGCGCGTGTAAATACCTTCTGCGAAGATATAAGGCCCATGGCAAAGCCTGTCTCGTCAAAGTTGTAGCTATGCTCCGGTTGTATACCGTTCTCTTCGATAACCCGCTGTACGGTCGCAAACCACGCGGATTTAGGGTCTTCATTTATGACGCGCTGGTAATCGTAACGCGTCGAGGAGCGTGTACGAAGCTCATCACAACGGCTAGTAAAGGATGATGCCCAATTAACGCCAACGGTTAATGGTGGGGTTGATCCACGCGCTGCAAGAAGGATATTGGCCATTTCTCGTACAGTAGAGGGCCTAGACGCTGCTCTACCCGAATCCATAGAGAGGATCCGTTGAACAAGCGAATCCTCTTCTTAGGGTCAATTAATGGCCATTTGGGCGCTAATCAACGCGTGCTGTTCTCCCACTCGCGCGAGCAGCGAGACTTGGGTAGGGTATATCGTATAGCTTCGCTGCTGCGCGAAGAGATTTTATGCGGTCATCTTTTATATCGAAAAGGGCCAAAAGGATTCTGCCATTCTGGTTGGCCGATTTTTTCGAAGATTCAGTGCAAATTGGTGGCATAGTAGGTGGTTGAAGTTGGTATGTAGGTAGGAAGACGCGATTTTCGGTGGGGTGTGCCGCTCGGCCGTGAATTGCGTTAATTGCTGTGCGAATAGCAAAAGCTGCTGTGTCCGTAGCAATTCCCCGAACCTACGTCCGCAGTTGGAGTTTTGCTCTTGGTTTGATAACCACCGTTCGTTCTGCATCTAATACCTGCAGTAGGCCCTCAATAGCAATAGCATAAATTTCCTGGACTACCCGTTAAAATTTCGTCGTCGTACCGGCCCTAAATCTGCTAGAAAGGTTTCTCATCACCCTCGAGATTGATAGAACTATATCAAATTACACTATACAATCGGCTCGTAAGAACGATAAGTGACATATTGGGCATGTGTTATGCTCGGCCAAGACCCATGCTTCGAGACATCGATCGTGGAATACATGGTGACATGGAAGCGGATGAATTAACTGTCTTCCAGAAATCACATTGAGACAAATTGTACTATGAACACCGGTAAGTTCGATGCTGCAGACCCTCCTGGTATCACATATAATTTACCAGTTGAATACCTCTTGTTCTCTTACGTTATCTCTCTTTGTTTGTAAGGATTTCCACCAAAGCGTAAGTGGCTGTTTGGGTGCTGCATGGTCAAAAGTTTTCAATTTCCGAGACTCGCATTCACTGGCAGGAAGTCGGCAGGTAGCGCATATTTCAGACGGTACGGCAATGCACAAGAAATAGACATTGTAGAAGGTTCTATTATTAAGTAAAAATTAGCCCTTTGATGCAGTGTAATCTGAGGAAATGATTATATTTACAAAATTATAAGGGCAACAACACATAGAACAATACCGTATAACACCAGAGGCTGATCGATATCACTATCATCGCGGCCTTTTTCGTTCATGATTAATCTTCCTTGCTCTAGCCGCATGTTTCAAGGACTAATTTCTCCGTATATACTACGATAGGGTTGTCAGGTGACATGATTATTCGGCCGAAAAAAAGTTCATCTGGATCGACTGTGTGAGAATACGTTCCATGCCGCCCTTCCCGGTAATTGATTATGACCGAACATGACTCAACACCTCCCGGTGGCGTATCGCAACATGTGATGTTCTAGTCTAAAACACCTGTGATCACTTCTAGCCTATAGGATGCGAGAAGGCTTACGATCTAGCCTTGCCCTTTGGCCCACCCACCGCTTTACAGCGGGAAGCGCTGTGGGTGTGACCGAAGGGCACGGATATTACTTTAGGTATGGCCGTCAAATCGCGCGCTTGGTGGTAAAGGCAACACCTAGTCCGTGATCGTGTTATCGGCCCATTTTTATGTCTTCGGTACGGCGTAGACCACTCTTCCGTAGGTCTAGGCGGGTCTAGATTCTTTAAAGCCTGACCAGTTACCCATTACGAGCGGAAGGCAGTTCTGGTGACCCCACAAAGCCCTCTTGGAGCGGGTGACACACGTAAGCGGTCAAGCACTCTTGACTCGGGTATGTCATAGTAGCGTATTCTGTCGGAGCAAGCTAAGACACTAATGGCTAGTAATCCTAGTAGTTGAATGAGATCGAGGATAGAGCCAAGCGGAACCAATTTTGGATGCAAAGGTTGATTGACTGAAGAAAGAACGAATATCATGGGGCGGGTTGAAATACCCCATGAGTGGCTTAAGGTACACGGTGTAATGTACGACAACCGTAATGCCAATAATACCTAATTACTATACAAAACGCAAAGGAAAGTGGGTCACTCAGTATAACCCCCTGTCTAGGCGGTAAGTTACCGCTCCAATGTCTCGACATATTCCGCTCACGCGTGATCGATCTACAGTAGTGTACATTCTTTATTTGGTATGAAATCATAGCAACAGTTCTCCCAGAATCGACAATTAGCCTGAAGTCTTTATATGAAATTCGCAACCATTGTGATGTACAACGGCTATTGTGTGTAGCTAATTGCTAATTTCGTAGGCTTCTCACTGAAGCAGCTATCAGCTGTTCTGAAATAAAGGTCTGAAACATTCAGTTCGATAGAAGCAATCCCCGGTGCAGAGGACCGTACCTCCAAAAGCGAATCACTACGTACAAGTCTAAAATAACTCTGCGTAATAGAAATGGTGTGACAGCCCAACACATTATATTCTGGGAACAATACCATACGGCTGCGGGTGGTTCCTGCGGTCGGTTACTTTTTAAGGGCCGGAGGCATCTCTTGCATTTAACTCCGCGCAGGACGGACGAAGCCCAGTGGAATCTGAGTTTCATTACCACTTACCTCTCCAACATCGTCTCGTCCTTGAGGAATTCCACCATAATGCCTTCTGCAATTCAACAACTTCCTAAAGCTTGGCTAATAGGAAGTGGTTTTGAGCCTTTGGTGGCTGCCTTCTATCTCATCGACGAGGCTGATCTATCTGGGGCGCAAATTCGCGTCTTAGACAAAAATTCTCAGATCAAAGCCGCCGACGCCAGCGGGAATTGTAATCTCGTGGGTGATAGGTTATTCAGCGAAGACTCTCCTTCCCTTTGTCAGGATCGCTGTCTGCATGACCTTCTCTCGAAAATGAAAGGCCATTTATGGAAAGATTATCACAAGTTATCCAGGTATCTCGAAAGACAAGATGTACTCATACAACATGACCCGGCGTACCCGACACAAATCCTTAACAAAGCACATAGTCGATCGGAGAATCAGAGCCAGAACTCTTTTGGCTCTTATCTTAAACCTGGAGATCGAAAGATGATCATCGTCTTCATGCTACAACAGGAGTCTAATTATTCAGGTGAGACTATTGAAAACGTGTTCGATGATTCCTTCTTCGGTTCGGATATTTGGGAGCTATTTTCCTCGAAGTAAGTCATCTTGGGCGTGGTGAGCGTCTTTGGGAGACTTTTCCGACGGGTTATAACCAAAAAAAAGTTTCGGGCTTCGACGAGAACACAGTGCAATGGAATTTCATCGGCACCTTTGCGAGTACTTTGATCACGTACAGCACAGTAACATCCAAACAGCCAGTCCACTACAGCTCGCCTCAGAGCCCTCTATTTATCGAACGCTTCAAGGGTTGTTAAGGGAACAAGGGGTAGTCTTTTCTACTGGCTTATCGGTACTTGATTTAAGTTTCAGTCCAGACACGGAGCCACGCACCGTCTGTGGAATCGAAGCCTCAGAGAATGGCAAACCTGTCTTGCTGCCAGTTGCAAAATATGACATCGTTTTCGTCAAGCTTGGTTCGCCGATCTCCGGTTCAATATGCGGAAGCAGTGGACTTCCGCCGTCAAGAATTCCGGCAGACGCAGAAACCCTACTCAACTGCGACTGGTCTCTTTGGTTCCGATTAGCAAAGGCATCTTCTAAATTCGGCAACCCATCCGCTTTTTGCACGCATATTTCCGAATCGCTACTCGAAACATTCACGGTCCTGATCCCACCGCTAGAATATAAGCTGATCTGTGAGCAAGTGAATCACAGTCAGGGCCATGATGGGCATTTGATATCGGTCGCTTGCAGTAACTGGTCAATAAAACTCGTTTTCCCGCAATCGCAATCACAACCTGACACATCTCAAGAAGAAGATACATGTGCTCTGATCGGATATGCCCTTACGCCAAAAGAGAATGGGAATCTGGTCAAAAAGCCTATGTGTGCTTGCAGTGGTGATGAAATTCTTGCGGAGCTGCTCTGGCAACTTAATATACCATTTGATGACATCGTCGAAAAAGTTACTGTGAATTCTCGTCTGCTGCCTTTAGGCTTGTCGCCCCTGCTGACACGCAGCGATGAAGACCGGCCAAGCTTCATTCCGGCTAACACGACAAACATCGCTCTGATCGGTCAGTATGTTGAGATTGATGGAGAGTCAACACTTAGTTTGGAGTACGGCGTACGCAGTGCTGAGCTAGCAGTACAACGCCTGCTGAACCTGGACATCAGTCTTCCTAAAGTAAAGAGATCGACCGTGGTGGCGAGATATGGTAATTGCCCCAGGAAAGATTACATTCAATGATAATCTTTGGCGATTCGATTACTTAGGATAGCAGGAGTAGCGCACAACGTTCCATTGTTGTTTAAGTCGGGATACTCGTCCTCTGGAGGTACTGAAGTAAACTCTGAATCTAATTGGAAGGGCTATGATGAAAAAACAGTCTATAACTCGAATCAGCTGGCAATGAAAAAGCGGGCAATGCGAACGACCAGACTCGACCGGGGAGAAGCTAGAAAGAGCCTGTGTCGAGTGGGAGGAGCAGGAATTTGGTTTGCCCGTCACGGAAAATTTATGTACCTGATGTACGACGTGATCCAGCTTCGAATCATTTCTTGGCAATAATCTCCTCATAAAATGGTCTCACTAGAGTTCGGTAACGCGCGATATTAAGTCCCTTAGTACCGTACAGCTACAAGATGCAGCCAGGGAACTCGCAGCTGGCCAATCCATAAATGACCCTATTGTTCGACGGCTACTAAAGAATATCACAGCTATCGGCATTCACGTGCCGGGTCATTCTTTCAGAAACTGCAAATACCTGCTGAGATCCGAGGACTGATTATTCGCGAAGGTATGCCTGCATTCTGGCTGACCATCAATTCTGCCGACCTCCAACATCCACTGGTCCTCATCCTTGCGGGGGCGCTCGACTCTGGTGGTGACTACGATTCGTGAAACAGTTGCTGATAAATTGAAGAATAGCTATTTTTTAATTGGACTCCGCCAGAGTCGACATCAATGCTCGGGATACTCAGGGTCGGGCCCCTCTTTGGCGTGTGATTGAGAGCTCCGGCAATGATGTAGCACATATCATTCTGCAGAAGTCGAACGTAGACTTCTCAAGCGATCAGAGTTCGATAAACCATTGGCAACTGCAATTAGAAGAGGGTGTGGAAGCATTGTGAAGCATATGCTACGTCATCCTAACTTCTCTATCCCGGACGTTCATAAAGCTTCAATTTCTCCAATGTGGGAAGCATGCCGTTCAGGGAACGCAAACATAGTCACTGAGCTCCTGTGCTGGAATGTGATTAATGTCAATCAAGCGGGCCCTACGGGAACCAGTCCGCTTCAGGTGGCTATCGTTGGGCAGCATGAATCAATCGTTCGACTGCTCTTAGGTCAGGGCGACCGTGTAGCAGTCAACCACCTAGGGCCTCAGAAGTGGTCAGCACTCACCTTCGCTGCTGCCGCTGGGCATCGTGAAATTGTTAGTTTGCTACTAAGCCATCCTCATATAGATCCCAGCCACATCGACGACCTCGGAAGGCGCCCATTGTGGTGGGCCATCCACGGAAACCACTTGGAGGTGATGCAGTTGTTGTGCAGTGACCTTCGTATCCAGAAGAGCCATAAGCTGAGAGAACTTCGTAATCTCCAGCTGTAAAGATGACCAGCCAGCAGTGGCGAAGACATTCATATTTTCTACCACCAATCAAGTCAGACTACGTGAAGGGAGCCATTGTCAATTGTGGGTACGATCAATTAGTAAACTATTCCTCGTTTTGTAGAGTTTGTATCAACTATATTTGCTATAGTTACAGTACCATTGTAGTTTCTTCTACTGTACAGTTTCGGTGGATTGCAGAACAGGTCGAACCCCGAGCACTGTATGTACTTCTCGTGCCTAATCAACAATCAAAATTCATAGACCGGTCCCAGATGATAGCAAGCTTTGTCAATACACGCTTCTTGATTCAAATACAGTACAGTAAACTCCCGTTTTCGGCACTCCCAGGTTAGGCACACATTTTTATTAGGCACCAAAATCTGTTAGATAGACCCACTTCTTAGAGTTTTCCCATATATAAGAGGCCAACCGGCACACCTTTTTGTCTGGCACACAAAATTCTCTTCAATTTTTGCTTAGTCATATAAACCGACTAATCAGAATGCAGGATTTTTCCCCTTCCAACCCTTCCACCCCTTCTTCGGTCGCTCTTTCAGCTAAACTAGCTATACCAAAACAACCCAACAAAGGCATATCCGATGCTCAGAAAAAAGCATTACGTATCTATGCATCGGAGACACGCCCTAAACCTACTTAGAGAGAATACGCTAAGTGGTTTTCATCTCAATTTAATCGTCATATCAACCGTGCGACCGTCTCCAAGATTCTTTCATCCAAATACGAGTACCTTAATACTAGTTTAGCTAGTTAGAATAAACGCCCGTTAGCATCTCGGTAGCCTCTATTAGATAAGGCCCTATATATCTAGCAGCAGCGTCACGAGAATACCGGTTTTCCTATAATAGGCCCATTAATTCAGAGCAAAGCCGTCGAATATTGGAAGAAAATACCCTAGTATAAAGATCTCGACCCACCACTTTTCTCTAAAGGGTGGCTATCACGGTTCAAACAGCGCCATTCGATCCGATATCATACCTCCTATAGCGAATCTGTATCGGTTCCGGCTTCGATATATTCCGACATAGAAGCTATTCGGGCTATCTGCGACTAATATTAGCTAAACGATATCTATAATATAGATAAAATAGGTCTATTCTGGCGTCGAATGCTAAATAGGGGTCTATCGAGTAAGGGTAGTCCTAGTTATAAAAAAGACAAGACTAGGATTACTCTCGCAGTAACGACCAATACTACTAGTTCAGATCGAATACCTCTATAGTTAATAGGCACTACGAAGATACCTCATGCTCTACGAAAACTTAATATCCTAGCACTTAGATATATCTAGCGATAGAACAAGAACGTATAGATACGCGGTAATGTTATACAAGAATAGTTCCGCTCATTTTATAGGTATATTAGCACACAAAGACGAGTCGTGCTATTACTCGATAACTTTAGTGCGCATCTCTCTACGCTTAAATATACGCTACCGCCGTCTAATATTAAAGTCGTTTTTTTACCACCAAACGCGACCTCGATTTACCAGCCATTAGACCAGGGTATCATCAGAAACCTTAAGCACCATTATCGGAAGAAATAGTTAATATAGATAGTGTCAGCCTGAGTATATGGGGGGTATACGGTCCCTGAACGACGACCTATAGTTATATATCTAGATAAAGCCAGAATACTGTGCTTAAGTACGTTTTTAGCCTAATAGTATAATAACCCACTTTTCTGGCCAACAGATAGTTAATATAATAGACCGCGGCGTCGATCCTACGCAGAGAATAAGCCTCTATTACACACTATATTAGATTACCTAGGCTTAGAGACGTGACGTTCTAGATAAGACTATTTAGAAGTGCTTTATTAAGAGCACGCTTATTAGTCCTAGCACTAATAAGATAAATACGTCTCCGTCTAAGGACCTTCAACTAGGTGATTTATACGCAGAGGTAACCGACCGGCTTCCTAGTATAGAGGTTATAGTATTAGATAAATTTCTAGACCCTCTAGGAGAAAACATCGACGTAGAAGAGCCTAATTTATCTGATATTATCGTTCATTTTTCAGAAGAAAATACAGGTAGGGATAATAGGGTTCAGGATAGCGAGAACGACCAGGACGAATATATATTCGGACCACCGCTAGATATCCTCTCGCGTGTTGAAGCTATTAAATATATACATAAAGCTCTTCAATTTGCCCAGCACCAAGAGGGAATTACTAAGAGAGATCTACGTGATATAGAGAGGATCGCTCATCTTTTTTCTCGATTCGAGATCAATGGGAGGAAGCAGAGAAGGGTGGATAACTACTTTAGACCAAAAACAGACTAGTTCTTACTAGATGAGGTTTAGCGCGATATTAGTGGCACACTTTCATTAGGCACATCGGAATTCTGTTGCACGGAGGCCCGTGCCGAAAACGGGAGTTTACTGTATTCCATTGAACGGTCTCATTGTAGTACAATTTGTATTAGTAGCTATACGGCCCTATCCCGGTCGTTTAGGCCTTATTTGCTATCTCCAGGGTCGATTACTAACATGATCTAGCTGATTCTCTGGTGACAAAAGCTATTTTCGGCGGTACAAAAACCCATTGACCTAGCTTTTCCGCTTTGTGGTTCGCAAACCTGGCTGAAGATGCTCATCCTGAAGATGCCCATACTGAAGATGCCCTCCTGAAGAAACCCGGAACCTGATTCAGGTGTTGGTAAAATATAGTATTCCATTCCTCCATGTTCTTGAGAGCATTAAATCCGTAGGCGAATGTATCGGAGCAAGCCAGACTAAGTCAAAATCCGAACTGAGACTCGCTAGATACTGCTCATCATCTCTTCCCTTGCGCCTCTCTCTCTCAGGTATGCTTCTGTAGCGGCCCACTTTTCAAAAGGTTCGAAACTGCCAGCGTATAGCAGCCATGTCAATGGTGTGGCCCCCTCATAATCCATTGCATTGACATCTGCTCCTTGGTCTATTAAACTTCTCACAACGTCCAGTGAGCCGTACTCTGCAGCCCAGGAGAGGGGTGTCCGCCCCCACTGATCGCGAGAATCAATCTCAGGCTCACTGTGTAGGAGGTAAAGAAGGAGGTTTATGCAGTCCCCCATGGCAGCGTAATGAAGAAGGGACCTTTTGAAGCGATCCAGTTGTACAGGGATTCCTCGCGACTGGAGTGACGCGTAGGACTCTTCGACAAATGTCACTAGATCATTGTTGAGAGATATTTCTCTGATGTCTTTCAAACGGGCAAACTCAAGGCCAATGGTTGTACGATCTGGATTGTTTTTCATGGTCATTGCAGGAAACCAGGCTCAGATGTACAGTAGGCTCAAAAGAACTTGATCACACTTAGATAAAGATCAATATCGAGGTGGATGGAGGGAGCTTGAACAAAGGAAGAAAGATTGAGGTAACTCAAAAGCAAGGCTTGCTCGATAGTTGAATAGTTAGTTAGATATCGTGTAGGATAGAGGTTGGGTCGGCCAATGTTTATATAGACCTCCAGGCTCGTTCTGCCACTCTTGCCTCCTTTGGGCTTTATTATTGGTTCCTAGGAGACTCGAAGCGCTGTCAATCTCCCGAGTAAAACTCGCTACTCAAATTATTTTCCGATGGCCTATTGAATCAAGACCTGCTATCTAACCGAGAGCCAAGAATGAAGAGGGCGGTATTGAAGGAAACTCTGCCTTGGTATCAGAGCAATAGTCTGACAACGTGCTGGAATTGGATCCTGAGGGCGGCGCGTGTCTGTGATATTCTGGAGTGGGGGACGTAATGTAAATCTGTGTCCAATTAAGGTTTGAGCTGATATCAAAACCGGTTGAATTGGTATAGGCTAGTATGCATATGGACGAATGAGAACTATCGGAATCATACAGACAAGGTTGATTGATTGAAGAAAGGAAAGGACTCGAACGAATGGAAAAGGGGCAGGTTGAGCTGTCCCATGGCGGTGTAACCGGGTATTCGAGTGACCATACCGATGTCGAAAGGTTACCCGCATATTACATACAAACACATACAAAATCTGGGAAGGAAATGGACCAATCCGAGGTCACTGTAATGAAACTCTCCACTTTTCCACGACATAATGCAACCGTTGCAAGTAGTAATGGATGAGATAGTTCATTAATAGAACCTACACATATAGCTAGTATAGGTAATATAATGTATACAAGTTATTCAATATGATTAATAATAAGTTCAATTATTTTGTACAACATTATTTTATGATTCCTCTTATTATTAATATGATATATTATCATACTTAACACATTTCTTTTTTTCTTTAATTTTAATTCTAATGGTTGTGTGTAAATATATTAATATCAAGTAGTGATTTAGTATCTATCTTTTTATCTATAGAATTACAAAGTTATGGTTTATATTTATTATGTACTATGTATAGAAATTCAGAATCAGCAACTTCAGCAGGTTTAACTTATTTCTTATTAGGTGGATTATCTTCTTGTTTTATTAGATCGGCTATAATATAGAGATAAAAGGTATAAAAAGATGTGTAGGATTCGAGGGTTAATATAATCTTACCCACATCGCGTTGCACGCATTCTTGCGTGTTTTCTTACTACGCGATTTTAGTAGGCGGTAGAATATGCTACAGGCGGTCAGTGAAGTGGGGCTGGGGGTGTTCTGCTACTGTACTGTACTGAGTGACCCACTTTTCCTTGTGTTTTGTATAGTAATTTGGTACACTTGGCATTACGGTTGTCGTAACACTGTGTACCCCTTAGCCATCTATGGGGTATTTCAACCTCTCCCATGACATCTTGTTATTTCATTAAACGAATTAAAAACCTTTCCGCACGAATGTTGGTTTCCCTCTATCTCATTCGCCTAATGGAATTACTAGCCATTACTATCTCAGCTTGCTCCGACAGCTGTCCCATGGCTGTGGAACAGAGTATTCGAGTTACAATACTGGTACCCGAATGTTACCGACATATCACATGCAAACAAAATCGAAAAGGTGGGACTCATCTGGGCCAATCTCATGTCACTATAATGAATGAGCCCACTCTTTTCTCGACATATTAAACTGGATATTCACGTAATACCACTGACAGAGCGCTATTCTTCTTACTTTATAACCCTGCTGTCCTTCTAAAAGCCTAGAGAGTTCCCGTAACCATACGACGTACATCCGCTTACCAATTGTAAACCACAACGATGACAGGCATCATGAAGTCACTACAGACAGTTTGCTATATATTAACGGCTCCTTGGCAGAACTGGAAGGTCGCCGTTCATCAGATCTTACTAATGCCCGAACATTGCCCGGAAAGAGTGGCTATCATGAATCTCTGGCGGAAGAATAGAAAGACTGAGTACAGCACGGTGACCATTGTTGTAAGTTGTAGTTCCGATGCAAGTATACGGATACTGAATACTTAGCCCTGCAGGGAACCATTCTCGCATCCGTGGCGATAAGCTCGATAAACTGGACAGCGGCATCTCTCTCGCACTGGACAGTACTGGCATTTTGGTACGGGACGTTAATATGGAGTGTTTTTGCGGTTCTGATCGCCTTCTACCTCGGGATATTTATCGACACATGCGAAACATGCACGCAGGGTGTGTCGAACCTCCTCCAGGTCATCAGGCACGAACAAGAGCGTGCAGTAAACTGGATTTATATGTTCGTACTGCAGTCGCCAATCATGCTCATCTGCTATGCAATAGTGTCTTATGTTGTCGGTCTCCTCGTATTCATGCTACAACCTCTGTGGCAGACACAGTGGGACAATGGAGACAAGGTGAGAAAAATTATTCCAACTTATGTCGCCTCACAGCGCTAAAAGCTTTCTCTAGATTGCAGTAGTCTTCTTATTATACATTTGCTTCGCACTTTTCTCCTTCCTGACTGTCTGCATAACTCTGTATACCAAATTTCTTCCAAATGTGACCGAAGGTGATTCCCGATGTTGATTAATGATGGTAAGTTTTGACGGGGAGGCGTCCATTCCTGCGCTAAGCAGTTATGAGTAGTCCTGTATTGACTACAGTGTTTTAGTTTCGTTATCTGCAATGAGGGCTACACCGTTGATCGCTACATTCACAGACGGAATGAACGGTATAACGTCCAGCCCTGGGACTATGCACGCATCCCCGAAGTCTTTGGTGCTAACGAGAAATATGAAGGGTACCCGCATCAGAATGAGAAATGAGCTCAACAAGTTGTTCTCCGACAACGAATTCTGCCCTGATGTTAGCCTCCGGGTTGGTATATTCATGGGAACACGGCGGAGGTGAACGTTGCTAACATGCTTGAAGCCGGTTGAGTTGTATATTCCCCGCGATGATGCGCTGGCTACCTTGAAATGCTGCCGAGGCAGCGGCAGCACTGAATAGATAGGCCATAGTTCCTTAGAACGCTTAGCCGATACCCGCTTTGAATTCATGACATCCTAAATTGATGTAAATATGTCTATCTTTAATTATTGACAGACGCCAGGATACTAAAATCACGAGATTTTTAATTCATTAGCTCTCGCACTTCGAATCTCCGCTCAGAATGTCTCTCAAATAAACACAGTTCGTAAGCCTTACGGCAGTAGTATGACGTCGCCTGATTTGCTCGTGATGCAACAGAGTTGAGAAATCGGTGATCAGCAGGCCAGTCAGGCCCATCTCCGACAGGAAAGAAACGGTCACTATCTTGATGGGCGGAGCCTCACAAACTGTTCCTTCATAGGAAAAGGAAGTTGGGGCATGAGAATTTCGGAGACGATTACCCTGAATGTACGATTACTAACCGCGAACCATCACCTCAAATTGGAAGTCAAAAACTTAAACAACGGGAAATTTAAGGAGCAAGATCTCAATGAACTCATTAACTTGATAAATCACTAGTCTTACGGCCCTCGTGAGATCTCAAATATGTGCCTTCCGCTCACCACCCTTTCTCGGATTGACAAATGTTGAAACGGAAAAGCGGTGGTGAGATCCATAGGGATGCGGAAGAATGATGGATCCTTTGGTAAAAGGATTTGTCAGACCTAGGTATTTCACAGTCTTAATCTTCAGAAATATAATCATGTCAGACATATCTGAAGCATAATTACAAAAGATGATGTTGTCGGCATTCGACCCGGAATCTTTGCTCAAATACTACAGCGGGATAACAAGACCGTCGCGATAAGGAGGTCATCATTATGACCATAAACATTATGTGGCTTATTGTTGACAAGGTAACGCTTCAGGCCGGCAGTAATACTGGCGGAGTTAGGAAGGGCAGACGTGAAGGCGAAGAATTGCCGTTTTCGGCTTGGCTCCTGCAATAACCATCTTATCATTCTGGCTACTATTAATGATATACCAGGTGTCGACACGGCAGCCGAATAAAGTTAGGGTGCTGGTTGTGCTAGATTTAGTAAAAAAAGATATATCACAGTAATTAACAGTCTCGTCATGGTCGAAGTCGTGTGACAACTTGCTCGATTGTGGTTTCCCGGACCAGTCTAGATTTACGAAATCCACTCCAATCCGGGCTTTGTTGCCACGTCGCTACCGCTGGCTGACGCTCACAATGGCTGGGTTCAAAGTGTGACTAACGATCTGCTGATCGGCCCCTAGGCGAGGCTGCTCTTCAAGCGGTGGTGGTTCGATTGGTATAAGGCCTGTAGGGTCTCTTCTCCGCGCCACGAACATCTGTACATTCCTTCGACCAACAGTCACTCACCATGCCCTTCCTGTCGTACAAGCGTGCCGTACAGCTGCGACAGGTGCTCAAGGATACTCAGGCGATAGTCGTCACTCCTGAGGATGAAGGCTATCCAGAGCTTATCAGCCGATGGAGCGAGGCTTGCGAGAAAGAAGCTGTAGGCCACCCTACGTTGCTCTTCCTCCAACCACCCCTAAGAAATTTCTACTTATCTACGCCTGTGCTATGCTAACCTGCATCTCGCCCTAGGGTGCGGTCGTGATGGCCACATCGTCCCACGAGGTCGCACTAACCGTCACCTTCGCGACCGTCCACTACATCCCCTTTGTGGTCCAGGGTGGTGGTTACAGCACGAGTGGCGCGTCCTCGACCCACGGTGGCATCGTGATCAACCTTTCAGCAATGCGTAAGGTTCTGGTTGATCCAGTGTCGGCAACCGTGGCCGTCCAGGGGGCGCAACCTGGGCAGAGGTCGACCAGGCGGCCGAGCGCGAGGGGCTAGCCGTTGTCGGCTGCACGACGAGCGCTGCGGGTGTCGGGGGGACGACATTGGGCGGCGGCTTCGGCTGGCTTACGGGGCGCCACGGTCTGGTCATCGACAACCTGATCAGCGTCAGGATGGTGCTCTCCGATGGCCGCGTCGTGAACGCGTCCGTAGCCGAGCATCCGGACCTATTTTGGGCGGTGCGGGGTGCTGGCCAGAGTTTCGGTGTGGCCACCGAGTTTGTTCTACGTGCTCACCGCCAGCGCTCGCCCATCTTCGGCGGTTTGCTCTACTTGCCCATTGACCAGCTGAACGCCGTAGTCAAGTTTGCGAACCAGTTTGATGAGAAGGCAACGGGTGACGAGGGCCTGTTCTTCGGCTTCACCACCCGCCCGCCTGCCCTGCTGTCGACGGTGATTGTCGCCTTGCTGTTCTATAATGGGCCGCGCGCCGCTGCTGAGGCCTTCTTTGCGCCGCTGCTAGCCCTAGGGCCTATACAGAATGAGACGCACGAGATGCCATATCCGGAGATGAACACTATCCTGGGGCAGCTTGCCGCTCCGGGCGCCCGTAAGCGGATGAGCGGCACGACGATCAGTCTGCCTCTTGAACCCCAGATCGTGCTTGAGATCTACGAGGATTTTGACCGGATCATGCAATCTTACCCGCGCGTCGAAGGCAGCGTAGTTGCCTTTGAGCTGCTGCCGTATGCCCGCGTTATACAGGTGCCCGTCGGCGCGACGGCATATGCGAACCGGGGCCCGTATCACAACGTTGCGACCGTCTTCCGTTGGCATGACCCGGAACTGGACGCTAAAATTACGAGTTTGGACCGTGCGCTGGTGCGCAAGATCCGAGAGCGCGCCGGAGTCGCTGGCGTTGCAGGACACGGGGTGGGCCTCTATGCCAACTACGCTGGTACGAGCAAGCTCCTTGGACATCCTGGGGCAGTTTCCCGCTGACACGCTTCTAGGACACGAAGCCAATGCCCAAGAGCTTTTTGGGGACAATCTGCCCCGCCTGCAGGATCTCAAGAAGCACTACGATCCGAAAAACATGTTTCAAAAGTGGCATAACCTTCTCATTCCCACAAGTCCAGTTTGATATGTTCTGTGATACTCCAATGTTGCCACTTTGCCTGGCGAATAACTCCAGAATCATGAATAGTGTTCATCTGTTCACTCCCTTTTATACCCACACCATGCGCAATCCATAGGATCTATCCTGGTGAGGCTATACACGGAAACAGCCTGTGGTAGACCTCGACACGGCCCATTGGCCCAAAAATGAACCAAAATAGAAATCCCCGTGAGCTGCATAAATTATGCCATTCCTACTTGCATTTCTTAGTATTTTTGGTATTTAGATTACCCTCAATTTGAATATATTGATGAGTTCTATTGATTATGAAGAGAAAAGCAAGTCAGGTTTACATGAATTTTTGGTTGCTCTACTACACACTTGTATATTACCCTTTTAATATATCCTTAGAGCCGTATAGATGGGACTCGAACTCTACCAGAGACACGCTACCGTACACTACTTTCATAAGGTAATGGGACTATATCCTCCTCCTCGTCCTTATCCTCAACACTAGCCTTAACCTAGTAGTCCTTAGGCCCAGGTCCCTCATTTATATCTATCCTTCGTCTCTTCCTAAGCGATGTTTGGCTTCGTATCTCAATAGAAGACTTAACAGAAGCGAAAAGAGACTTATCCTCTTCGTTATCACTGATTAGATCAAGATTCTCACTCGGTTACCAGGTATCCGTTTCTTCTTCCGCTAATTTAAGCTCTTGCTCGGTCGCCAGTTCTCGGATGAAAGCAAGCTGCTACTCCTCCACTTCAAATCTAGTAGTATACATAAATATCATAAGATCTTATATAGTTATTACATTTAATAAGCCCCTACGGTAGTGGCAGATATCGCGTGCTAAGTTAAATAACCGCTTAACACTAGCGCTAGTAGTAGGGATAGAGAGAACGTCCCGTACTAGACTTATAAGTGTAGGAAATTCATGTTAATAGTCTCTCTAAAACTACCGAGGGCTAATTAAGATAGTTCCTATTATAGGACGTATTAGAAAAAGGTTAGGTAGACCAGAGAGGATAAGGTGATAGATATCTACCTCCTCTTAGATACTCTCTAAGTTTATCACGCTCGCTAGGTTATATCCTCTCGGTATCTTATATAAGCAAGATATCAAGCTCTATATCTATACTGATTTCTTGGCCTTTAAGAGAGACTACGAGCTAGTAAGGCCTTCTTTATAGTTATTAAGACGGGACTTAAGGCTTTAGCGGTACTAGGTAGTGAAATCCCTATCTAGATCCTACTAGTCGGGTATTAAAAAGAACTATAGCTTATACTACGGGGCAAGAATAGTCCTAATTATATAGATATTACCGAGATCTTTATCGTCTATTAAGGTATAGTATTCTCGTAGCTTAGTTTCGGTAGATTCAAGAGCTTAAAGCATCTATTACTTCTAAGGAACCTTTTTCCGCCGAAGCTAGCGAATAGATAATTCTAGGTTATCAAAAAGCTTATTATATATACTAAAAACGCTATGAATAGTAACATCCTTAGTTTTAGAAAGCGTAGTAGTGAATTTGAAGAAAGGCTATATAATCTAGAGGAGATATTCGATCTAGCGCTATTCCTCTTAGTTAATTTAGAGATTAGGATACCTATACTCAGTACAGAACTAATCGAACGTAGATTAGAGCCTTTTAGCCCGTCGAAGTATTAAGAAGGTCGAATTCTAGCGTGTTCGGATATCTTAAATCGGCACTAACTTCAGTAGTTCGGTCTGAATATTCAAAAAAGACTCCCGTCGCTAAGGGCTTATATTAATAAAAACTGCGAGGTCTCGAATCTAAAAGAATAGTTAGTAGATAATAAAGGAAGGGGTTAATTTAGTAGCTAAATAAATCCAAACCTTACGTAGTATATTCGCGATATCTCGCTTTTAGGCCTTTCGACGAGCCGACTAGGCTTATTCTTCCGACTAAATTATCTCTCTCGTCTCATTCTTCGGGTTAGCCTTTATATAACTAAATAGCTACTTCAAACTTAGCTAGATAACGTAGGTAATATAGGGAATACGAATAATAGTAGCTCCATGATTTATATCTAAGGATTATAGTGAATCCTAGATAGTTAACATTATTTTACTATTATTAGATGTATTATTAGTCGTAATAGTAATCACCCGTTCCGGTATCTAGTACTACTAGAGTAAACTAAATAGCACCGAGCCAAGATTAGCGCTAGTATACCTCTTATATAGAGATTTAAATCTAAGTAGAATTTCCCGATAGTTCTAGTCTTTATTAATAAAATAGCTAGTAGTAGCTATAAACGCCTACTAAAAGGGAGAAGTCTAGTAATCTAGCGCGAGTAAGAGCTTTACCTTTAGCGGAAGCTTCGTAAGAAGATAGGTCTATCTCTCCTTCACAATCTCTCGTATACGACGCTAGATACTTTTAGCATAAGGAAAGGTAGGAAGCGAGGGTACTAACTACGTTATACGAAGAAGCTTTTGAAATTACGGGTGCTTAATTATTTAAAAAGGAAGGCGAAGAGTGGTGATTATACTAATAATCTCTTACTACTAAGCTTCCTCGGTAAAAGAGGATATAACTAGAGGGGAATCTCGAGCCTTATAGAAAAGGTAGTTAGCTCCCTTATAGCCTATTATCTTATTTTAGTAGGAGTTAATACCGCTTACTCTATTAACCGCTATATACTTAGCTATTTAACTACTTATCTCCCTTTCCGGTATAACTCTGTTTTTAAATACCTTCGAAGCGCGTTTATTCTATTTAAGGTATGGTTTAGATAATCAAGAATCTTTTCATATCTCTTACACATCACCTTTAGCTCTCCTATAATATAATAGGCTACTTACTCGAAATAGACCTATATCTCTGAATAATAGCCCCGTCTATCCTAATGCATCTTCTTCTTATCGTCGGCTACTCCAAACTATATATTAAACCACTAGTTAAGAAATTTAGCACTTATCATCTCTATATAAAGTACCTAGGTTTTCCTCCGGTCGCTAACACGTTATAGAGTATAAGAGATCGAATCCGGTAAGGCGAGGCTAGGAGTACCCGTCGAGGGAAGAGTCTAATAGCTTCCGGAAGGCTCTAGTGAAGAACGAAGAGCGTCACTAGGTAGAAAAGAAGATAGTTAATCTAGATCATCACCCTAATAGAGAGATAAGGAATCCATATTAGATAACTAAGGTACTACGATAGATAATAGTATTTAGGAAGGGAGTGAGAGGAGACTTAGGAAGATATAGATACCTTTAGTATAGAGGAGTTAATAGTCAGAATCTATTTATTCGTCCCTAAGGACGGTTTCAGAGAGCAGTTAATATATCATCTCAAGCACTATAGCAGGGGTTTAGCTAGTTTCATTAGTAGAAGTATAGCTAATCATATATTATCGGAAGCTACCCGAATATCCGTATAATTTCTATTAGATCAGTAAGAATGAGCGGTTTATGGGCCGCCTATAGGCCGCCTAGAAGCCCAAAAATTTTATTGAGGGCGATACCCCCCGCAAAACACTTCATCCACAAACCACTCTTTTGACGCATTTATTTCACTTTTACACTATAACGAAGAGGGATTAGGAATCAAGACTTAAATCATATCAAACTAAATACAAAAAGGCTAGAGAGAGTATAGAATTATAGTAAGTTTCCTAAATTTGATATATAATGAATAATTAGAAGATTATGGTATCGAGACTACATATTAGAAGTATATATTTTCGCATTCAGTATAGGTCTCTATTCCATACTTAGATTTTGATTAGCAACATCCCCTTATTAATCTCTTATGAACTACAAAAATGCTCAATCACACACTAGAAAATCACTTAATAAAGGCATTTTGTAAAATTTCATTAATCTAAAGGGGAAGCAAGACCCGGTGTCTATGAAAGGGCCAAAACAAAGATAAAAAACAGTAGTTAATATTGCAAGCTTAATCAGCGATTTATCCATCCTAATCATGCAGAAGAAGCAGAAAATGGGCTGTTTGGGCCGCCCATGGGCTGCCCACATAGCCCATCGGGCGGGCGGGTTATAGGCGCAGCCCAGGTGGGCGGCCCATGGACGGGCCGTGGGCTGAGATCTTCGGCCCATGGGCGGGCCGTGTCGAGGTCTATTCGTATTCTTGGTTAAGGTAAAGGATCTACCTTTTTGACAAATGATGTGGTCATATTGGCTATATTGTGTTCCCATGGTTCATGGCGCATTGCTGGCACTGCAAAGACAAGGACAAACCGCTCAATCATCACCGGGATCAGACAATGTGCTGGTAAAACATATGATATGTGGATCAGTGACAGATAGCATGCCTCCACGAATGAACACACTCCCGACTCTAGATTCAATCATCTAATGACCCACCCGATATGTACTCTAACATAGATCCAGTAAGTGACGCTTGAGTAATCGCCTAGGCCACCCGCTCTATCCTTTCACTAGTGGCTTCGCCCTTGTGACCGTGTATAATCTGATCAGCAAGGATGGTGTCCCGAACGGAATCAACGGCGAACAAAAGATCAATCTCCTCGAGCGTCTTGCCATTTGTCTGCGAACAATGTAAGCCAGGTACTTAGAATCTGATCGCTGCGACTTGATCAACATACCTCAGGGCACATAAAGTATATAAAGACTACAGCCGTTGCGCAGGACAGAAGCTGCCATATATAGATTTTCCAGCCAAAGTTCGTGATTGCAGTTCCACCTCCGAATACGGCGAAGAAGGAGAAAGTCCATTCTCCAAATGCGCCGGCAGCGGCGCCAACATGTCTGTACTTCAAAGGAGCGATCTAAACAAACAGTATGTGGTCAGCTCTTGTCAACAGGTAAAGCAACGAAGACGAGATTGATGAGAACAAACCTCAGCAGTGTAAAGCCACGTGATGCCAATCCAACTATATCCAAACACAAACATGAACGAGATCACGGCTGCGACTGCTGTACACTGAGTGGCGAGGGTGCCATTCTCCAATCCAATCGTAACGACAAATATGAGCATCAAGATGGTACAAGCTATCGCCGACCATAAGAGAA